AGAGTCTTCAAATACAGACAGGATAAAGGTAAAAGAGAGAAACTGTCCTCTATCTACTGTGAATAGCTCACACAGCACTGTGTTTTAAAACTGAAGTGAGGGAATGTGAAGAGAAACATAATGAAAAATAATCAAACTATTGAAAAGGATGTCCAGCAAGACTGTGGAATTTCCATCCTTTGAGGTGTTTAAACAAGGGCTAGACAAATATCTGCCAGAAACATCGCAGGTATAACTGGCTCCTGTACCAGAGGGAAGATCAATACCTCAAAGTTCTGTGCAGCCTAGTCTGGAACTTCGTAAAATCTTTACATCTATCTCATATTATTCTTATATTCTTTATTCCTATAAATTCTCCTAATATAGATTTATTTTATGTTATTGTTTCTATATTTGCAAAGGATTTTGTGATGCCTCTCCCAGCTGAAAAGCCCTGAATGAAATATAAAAAATGTTTTCAGGAAAATCAGGAATTCCACAAGATCCTTACACAGCCTAGTCCTTGCATCTAAGCTTTTTCTTAACTTAGATCTTCCTTGCCGCAAATTAAGATTATTCTTTTTAATCCTGCCCTTTGCAGTCATGGAGAATGATTTATCATTAGTTTCTGTCTTTACTAACCTTCATGTATTTGAACACTTCTTTTGTTTCTAATCAGTCTTCTCTCTTCTAGACTAAACAAATCCAGTACTTGAACACTTCTTCACAGGTCACACTGCTGAAACTCTGATTTGTAATTTTCTCCATTGGACTATCTCCATTCACATTCTCCTAGAGGATTGTAATCCCAAACTGGATATGGTTTTCCAGCTACAGCCTTAATAATGCTGAGCAGGGTAAAAGATGGAAGAGAATCATTTGTCACCTAGAACAGCCCTGTAATTTTGGAAGGTATCAACATTTGCCTTTTTATCAATGTTTACAAAAAAACCTCTTTCAGTTTACAGTCAACTACAATCCCCAAATTGTTTTTTTTTTTTTCATAACAGTTTTGTTTTGCTGTTGAAAACTAAGACATGAGTATTATTTCCAGAAGTCTAAAATCCATCAATATTTATAAAAGCACTCTGAAATCTATACTGGGAAAAGCAAAGCATTTCTTAGTGGTGTATAAATATTGTTATAGCTATAAATATACCTGTGATCTCAAATGCTTTCAAATCTGTTTATTTTTGACCCTTTTGCAATGAAAAATCTGTATGAGAAAGACAGTGGGGAAGACAAGGCTGGTGTATGGAGACTTGGAGGAACGCTGCTCCTTTGCATACATCACAAGCAGTACAAAAGTCTGCTTTTCCAGAGACATACAGTCACTGGTCTTGGACTTTTGTTTAGGAAACAAGAAAACATTCTGTAAGAAGCAATAAAAATAGAAAGCAGCTGTGCTGCTTTTCTGCTGTGCTCTGGCTCTTCTCATCCTCTGTACACAGCCACAAAGCTGATCCTGTCCAGGCTTCTCTGCTGCCCAGGGTGAGCGAGGCAGCCCTCCTGCCCCTCCACAGCGGCAGCATCACCCTGTCCAACAACGTGGGCTCCCAGGGCCAGGGCTCCAGCAGAGGCTGCCAGCTCTGAGCAAGGCTCTGTGCCCTCCCATGCCATTTATATCTGGTCTTCCTCTGGTGCAAATTTACCAGTTTTTTAGGGGCAGGCACTGAGCCGGCAGCCCAACTCAGCACAGTCCCTATGGGGGTTGGGGTCAGCAATGGGCAACGTCGGTGCCTCCTGCTTGCTGCCTCCCTGGAGGCTCTGCACGGCAAGAAAGGCCACTGCTAAGCAATGGGAGGGGAAAAGGACTGGGGATGGTCTGGAAAGCAGAGCAGTGCATGAGGGAGATGGAAGAGCTGTTGGGCAGGTTGGGATGAGCCAGTACAGTTGCAGTCCCAGCTGACCCAGGCCCCAGTTAGCTCAGGTAGGACTAGGAAAATAACTCCAGTTTTCCAGGACATTTCATATTACCGAAGCATGGACACGTGTAAGATATTTTGTCTTATTTATATGTGTGTGCAAGTGCCTGAAATAAACTCCTCTATGCCCAGGGGAACAACTTAGCCTAGGAGGATCATGGAAAGTCAGCTGGACCCAGCAGAGGTTGAGCTCCAAGCCATAACATGGAGAGAAGCAGGGACCAAAGACCTCCCCATGCTGCTGGCTGGGCTGCCCTCCCACACAAACCCCTCTGGATGCACTGCTGATGTGCCCAGACGTGGCAGCACATTGAAATGCTGCGACAAAAGGGGAGGAGGGGGGAGAGGGAGTACATGGCTACCTTCAACACTAATTCAACTTACCCAGGACTACTGCTAATATGGCCCAAGAACAGAGACAGCTACCAGAGCCAGCACTCAAAGGAAAGGAAAATGGCCAAAATAATTCTGTTTTCTATTAAATATAATAGTTCCCTCCCAAAAATGCCATTCAGAGAACTTTAATATTATCTTTCAGGGAATTGTAAGTAGTTCCACAAAAAAACCTGTCTCTCTTTTTTTCTAGAAATATGGTTGTCTTCATAACGCAAAATGTGACAAAAACCTGTGTCCTTTATAACCATCCATGTTACTCTCTACACACAAATGTATTCATATCTACGTATCAATATAACCTAACTGCACATCACTGCAACATTACCTGGCTCTTGCCCGAGTACTATCTCAGCGTTACCCTTATAAACACCTGCTTTGAAATTACAGAGCTAAGGAGCTTCAGGTTTTAAAGAGAAAGGCAATGTTGCACTGCGTGCCTTCAGCATACTGTTTTGACTAATCCAACCTTACATGTTCATAGTTTCCAAGAAAAAAGGCTATATATAATTACATGCAAGAGAGCTGGGAGAAAGGTGGGTGATGTGGAACAAAGAGCACATTTTTCAGGAGCTTTGAAAGCTGGTGCGGCTTACCAAGATCAATGACATGTCATCCCAGAGGAGCACTGAAAAAAGCCTTTGTAGTTCTGCTCCCCTTCTGTCTGTCTGTATTCTGTGTTTCTAAGCAGGCAGTTTGCAGACAGCATGCATGTGCGTGCAGCCAGTGTGCACTGTGGATGCATTTAAACACACAGCGTCTATGTAGCAAAATGTTGGAAATTACAGACAAATAAGTATTGTGCAAAGCCAGGTAGTGCAAAGAAATGCATATTTAAATTAGAAGTTAAAACAAAGAGAGAGAAAGAGTTGAGACAGGAGATGGAGAAATTATTCCTATGATCTAATCAATAAAATGTCCATCTAGCAGATATTAAAATTGTCTCTAGGCCATGGAGAGCAGCACGTTTTCATTTTGACTAATGCATCTCAAACATAAAGCAGTGGGAAATATTGTAAATAACAGATTTTATAAAATATTCCCCAAGAACATCAAAAAATCTAGCTGAAAAGAATACATCTGAATCAGGTTTAAACTGTTTTTCAAACATAGCCTGATGCATGTAACATAGACAACATCAGCTTCTCAGAGTTTAATACAAGAGGTAGTACAGAAGCAGATTGAGTGGAAAAGACTTTCTGAGCTGCTGAATTTATAAAAAGGTAAATACCATTAAAGGAAAAGCTTCAAGATAAAGAGAGAGAGGAAAAAAAAAAATTTCCTCCTACAAGCGAGGGGCAGTGAAGTTTTTAGGACTCGGCTTGATATCTCAATAAATAATTATGTTTTTCCAACTGAACAACCAGCTAGACATGGCAAACTGTAATTAACACCAAGAAACATAATACCATTTGGCATGCTTACACCTTGTTTCTGAACAGGAGGCTGCAAGAACCCTTTAAAAGCTATTCAGAGAAACTTATAATTATGTGCTAGTGTGATTAGGCTCTTCTAATAATGTCACGCCTATTGAGCGCACGCTATTGAAAAGCCCACACAAAAATGCACAGTTCCACTGATCTGTATGCTTATGTCAGAAGCCCTCATTTGGAGATCTGAGAAACGAATGAAACATTACTATGGAGATTAAGAAATTCAGTTTAGCACTGTAAAATAATATTATGATTGAATAATATTAGCACCAACTATTAATAAATGTGCCGGCATTTTCCCATTAGAAGACACCATATGCAGCTGCTTATAGCTACGCCAAAAATGCTAAGCTGCAGGAACGAATCTCATGTTAAAAAATTCTTTGAATACTTTAAGGCTTTGGTGATGTGGAGCAGCACTTTGACTACGAGCAACAAAGTGGGCAATAAATACAGACTTTTGACGCTGTACGAAGGGTCAAAACAGCATTAATAATGTCAGAGAACCATCTGATTACGCATGCAATTATAGAGGTACTAAATATTTCTATTATTACTGCAAATAGCTGTCACAATAGAAGCTCTCTTTTCTTCATCTTTATTGCAGGAAACAAAGATATCATCTACAGGTTTATGTAAAATAAGTCATAAAAGTGCTCTCAGTCCAATTGCATTGGTAACTAGCTCTTGTTCATTTTAATTTAGGAGGACTGAAGAGTACAAGCAAGAAATGAAGGTGCCTGCTACCTTAGGCCAATTAATCCATCTACTTAAGAACATATTCTCAAGAATTAAACACAATGGCATGATTAGTGGGGACCAGTGAGTGTACATGGGCACATAGCTTATAGAAGGTGAACAGCATCTGGCTGTTATAATGCAAGCAAGAAACCTCTGTGGGTGCTGAAATCTGTAATGATCTAGTAGAAATGTATGTCAGCTACTGTTTGAATGCCTGGGTTACTGAGCAATTTTTGTAGATAATCAAGTCTTCTCACACAGCCTGTATGAGTTTTCAGAACGTGGGACAAGTCAGACAAAAGAGCTTTCTTTGTGCCATTCAGCCTCTCTTCCCCTCTCAAACAACCTTGCGGCTCATCTCACAATCACTCACCTCCACATGCACCAATTATTATCATTTCCGGAGTCAAAGCAGAATTTACCACCCCCGTTTGGAAATCGCCCTCAGGGCTGCAAGAACATTCAGGAAGGGATATATAATGCTGTATTAAGAAGAAAACAAATTCATGTCCACAAAGAAAGGCATTACCATTCTCTTCATCTCCTTGGAGACTTGGTGAGCTCCGAGGTGGTTATAAAAGGGCCGGTCAACACCCCAGTGTGGTGGGTTATGGCTGATGGAATTAGCGCGCTGACGGTTCATCTTGGCTATTGTGGCTTTCTCGTCTTTCTAAAATACAAACAAGAGAGAAATGCAGAATAAATTTTGAAACATTTACATGACAGTCATGCTCCAAGTATCTCTCACTTCTGATCTCTCACCTTAGTAGCTGGCTTTGCACCTTGAACTTTATGAAGTGGCCGCTGATCAGAAGCAGTCCCACTCCACCATTTTTCTCTCCCTGTTTACAGCTATGCTGTGAAAATTTTCAGAACACTTGCCCCTAAGTAGTGCCCACCATTTTACTCCTTCGCCTGTTTTGAATAACCACCATAACCTGTGTAAACACAGGGAGCATTCCTAAATTCCAAAATTTTAATAAACGGAATCAAACTGAATCACTTCAGATATGAAACTGCAGTTCCAAGCTGAGATGCTACATGGAGATCCTCAAAAAAAAAAAAAAAAGAGACTGCTGTGTGTGCAAGGCAAGTGACACACAGAATAATCTGGTTGAAGAACAGGAGCCTTAAAGCTATGGGAATACAGGATACCTTTCTCCCCAGGTACAAGCAAATAATTTTCCACACTTGCAAGACAAGGGCATCTTCCCAGACACGCTAAGGAAAGCTTGTAAATCTTGCAAACAACTTAATTGTGAATCTCTTAAGGCTACTGGTATTGCAGGGTGTGACAAAATGATCTCCCCTACCCTAATGCTAGCTGCAAGTTTTGGCATTGACACTAACTTTCTAGAAGTTTGGACAAAGTCTTTGGTTTTGTTATTAGAGCTGGTTTTGAATCTTTGCTGCAATTGGAGCTTACTGCAAGGTTTGCACAGGATCTGTCAGAAAGGTTTCATTCAAGCTCAATGCCAGTTACAAGAGTACAAAGTGCAGCACGTAATGAGGCTAAACAGCAGGCTGGCTAGTTCCTTACTTTGAACGTATTGTCCAGCTAAAAAGATGGGTAGGTTTCTACACAGAATGTGTTCTGCAGAAAGACAGGAGTTTATTGCACGGGATCAAACTCTTCAATCTTCTCTAGGAAGGACTGCACTGGAGACTTGCTCAGTGAGGACTGTGCAATTTACCTGTACTGGCTCAGATGGCAGAGGGGTGGCAATTATCACATCCTTGCTTAAAAGAGACAAACTCTGGAAAGCTTGAAAATTCAGACAATAGGGATAACTACACCTTGGCTCTTTTTTACTTAAGAGATTAAAATTTTCAAAAGAATTGCTGCTTCCATGAGATTACTGAAAATTTTTTTATTTACTTGGAGTTGATTTTGGGTTTCAGAAAGTGTTCAGACAACTGAATAATTTAAAAAGAAAGCAGCAGCTGTTTTAAACTCCAGAATTTTGGTTCATGTGTTGCATGACAATACAGATAGGTCTGCAT